AGTGGTAGGTTGCAAGACCAAACGATAGCATCGAGACATCTAGTAAGCAAAACTAGTAAAGATATCCAAGGTAATGATCATCCTCGCCTGGAATCCCGCTTTGAAGAAGATTAATCCATGAAGTGCAGTCATGCAAAGCATAGTCAAAGGAATCCTCGCACTCCGTATCGTTACCGAAGCTATCGAGAAGAATAGAAACTGAAAAGAAGCAAACGACATGGTAAACAAACATCACATATACATGGAATGATGCACAACCAAGCATGACGCATGTCAAGTTAAATATGCATAGCATGGCAAGTCGCAACAAACAAATACTCCCTCCGTAAAGAAATACAAGAGAGTTTATATCACTAATTGATTTGATCTAAATGCTCTTATATTTCTTTACGGAGGGAACACTACACATTAAGTGAAGCCCAATATGCAACGAGTTGCATATTGACAAAACTCAACGTTCAATTATTAAGTCCAGTCTCATTTATGTACTCAACAAGTTTAAAATGTTGATTGACATGGTAAGAGGTGAAGCGGAAGTAAACTACCTATCTAGGCAATTTAAATGAGGCTAAAAATTGAATTTCGTATTGTTCTACCCTAAACACAATTTTATTGTTGCTAAACAGGAAAAGTAAGTGCAACATGGTATTCTAAACATTTTTCTAGTCCATTTACATATTAAAACATTTCTTTGGACTTATGGTTAATTAATTATGAAATAAACCATTTTAGCATGTTATTAATGCAAATTAAATGCAAGGTGGGTGTGGCTGCAGTTGGTGGGATAGGGATCCCAAGGGAGAAGAATGCAACGGTGATTGGATGGATGGGACAATTGGTTAGGGGCTAGGATTGTCCAAAATGGACTAGAGGATATATGTATAAGAAAACAAAGATGCTTGGGGTAGTTCGGGGTCAGTCTAGACACTCGGTAACAATCGGGTGATTCGAGTCAGGGGAAGTTTTCGAGCTAAGTTGCAAGTGGGTCTAAGAAAGGTCAACGAAGACAAAGAGAGAACCGACAACTATGAACGGCTACAACTTTTATAAAAACACCCGAATGAATTCGGTACGATGACAATAGATTGCCAATGCGACGTGGATGATGGCATGATGAATACAACGAATAAATAATTATATTACGCAAAGAATCTAGAGAAGTGGTCTCGGGCTATTACAGTAGTGACCTACGAAATCCTACCTAGTGCCATAGTCTAATTGCCTATTTCATATGACCACCTTACCCTCAGCACATAGTCTCACACATGACATAGTCTCACCAGCATTTGTGCTCTACCATCAAACCGGCAAAAATATTGGCAACACATCGACGACAAGTATCATAAGCTCATGTCGACCCCATACGCCTGTTCATTGAAATCACTCCAAGACCAGTGGATGCGATCCAAAAACGGTGTTGTCGTTGGAGTGGTTGCTTGGAGCAAGTGACGAATGCACCTCCAAAGTGGTTGCACATTTGATGACTATACTATGTGAGTTTGTTATCATTTTGTTGTACACATTTGTGATCTTGTTTGTTTTTATACAATTTGAGCCCATACTTGCCTCTTTTTCAAATGTAGCGTCACATTGCGCATGAAAGGTTCAAGAAAATGCCGGCTCCCAAAGGCAAACCATTTCTACTCCAACATTGTTGGAACTTTCTTCAAGGAAGTGAGAAATGGATGTTGAGGGATCAAGAAGATCCACAAAAGAAAGGTGCACTCGTTAACTTGGAAGACGATGATAATAATGATGATGCACCAAAGGGGGGAAGAAACAAGGGAAATCCCGATGAAAAATAAGCTAGAGAAAGATAGTGTGAAGAGGTCGGACGAGGCTCTAACTTGAGGGAGCAAATTAGTACAATGGTGAAGTTAAAGGAAACCATGATGGATAAGCATTTGGAAACCAAGGTGGCCTTGGCCGAGAAGAAGAATGAACAAAAGGAGGCAAAGTGGGAGAGAAGATGTGCCTTCGAGGAGCGCAAGATCGCTCTTGAGGAGTAAAAGAGGAAGGACAACAAGATCGCCGAGGAGGACTGGTTCTTGATGATGGATCCGAATGGCAAGGGAGTTTTGGGAGTTGTAAAGATGGATATCATGTTTGAGAGGAGACAAGAGCTTCATGATGTTATGGCC